ACACATCTGCTTCTATTTCCCGACGTAATGTGTTCGTTGGCCTTCCTATTCTTCGTTTCTCCTCAGGATTCCAAGTTAGGGCTCGTTTCGTGATGCATTTTGATGATTTCCGTAATATATGTCCTATCTACTTCCAACATGTTTTCCTAATTTCCTTTTCATCTGGAAGCTGGTTTTTCTTTTCCCACAAAAGGCTGTTGCTGATGGTATCTGACCAATGGATTCTGAGTATCTTGCGTAGACAACTATTTATAAATACTTATTACCTCCTTGATGATGGTTGTAGTAGTTTTCTACTTTTCAACTCCGTACAGCAAGACTGTCCTGACGTTCGTATAGAAGATTCTGACTTTGGTGTTGGTTGGCAGTTGTTTTGAGTTTCATATGCTCTTCAATTGTAGCAACGCCGTCCTTGCTTTGCCAATCCTCATCTTTACGTCTGCATCTGATCCTCCTTGTCCATCGATGATGATTCCCAGGTACGTGAAATATTCCACATCTTTCAGAGTTTCACCATAAAGTGTGAATGGGTTGGTGTTCTACGTGTTGCATTTAAGGATCTTGCTTTTTCCTTTGTGTATGTTAAGGCCTACTAATGCAGAGGCTGATGCTAGATTAGTTGTCTCCATCTGCATGTGTTGGTGTGTATAGAATAGGAGGGCTAGGTCTTCTGAAAAGTTCAATTCGTCTAACTGATTCTGAGCTGTCCATTGTGTTTCGTGCTTTACCTCAGATGTCGAGGTCTTCATAATCCAGTTAACCACCAGAAGAAAGAGGAAGGGGAAAGTAGACAGCCTTGTCCGACTCCGGTTCTTATTTGGAATGCATCTGTCAGCTGTCCTCCATGCATGATTTTGCATTGGACAACAACAGATATTTATGTTGACCGTGAGATTGCTAAAGTAAATCAATATCCTGATTAAAGTATGCGTAAGTTTGTAACAATGGTTAGATTATAACACACGCGAATCTGTAAAAGAATTATAATTATCCAATCATTATCTATCTGTGTAGCATTTTCACTGAGCCACGTTGCATTCTTATTCAAAGTAGAAATATCGTAGAAATAAAATGTTGTATTTCCCATATAGAAATTTCATACGTTTATGTTCCATTAGATATAGAAAATAAATGACCAGTAAAAATAAACTCTCAACACAGTACAATAATGAGATTGTTTCCTCAGTTGTTCAATCTTTCAAGAATTCTTTGACGAACCTCATTGTCTCGAAAAAAATTATATTGAATGAATATATTTGTTTTAATTAAAGTGAAGTTACTTTTTACAAATTTCCGCTTACACTGTCTAAATAGAGATGTATGCCATTGTCGAATATCAGTAAATAGTCAGTAAACAGCTATGGTGTTTAAATGAAAAAGAGGAAGCACATTTAAACTATTTTCCCTGAGGTGATTTATTTTGGCTACTTGTCAAGTATTTGTATAGAACATTATTGCGTTCTTTTCGAAGAATGTCTATTTACAAGATGATTAATAAATGATGGGAAACATTTGTAGAGAAGATAGTATACGTAATTAGTGTCGGGTTCTCTGTGCTGGTTGATTTAGTATTGGAGCACTAATGACCATTGCGAATAATATTGATCTCTTCAGCAAATACAAGTGACTGGTTAACAATTTATGGGAAATCCTATTCAACCATTAATGTTTGGAATGCGCTTCTCTCCCTCTAAATGCAAGTTGTTGCTACAGGACTAGTCTGCGTCAACACGACGTGCAAGGCTAACCGGTGCTGGAGATGGTTGAAAGAAAGTTAGGGGCGGCAAAACCAAAACGTGGTGTCAGTGCTTGAAGTCACTAACTTCTGTTCTGAGCCATGTTGGGAGATGCAGACTACTCAGTTGGAGTTCACGTGACTATCGTAACCAAGGGTTATAGACTCTTGCTGACATGGCTCAGAATCGATCATAGTGGCGTCGGTGCATACACTCTCTGTCTTCCCTTAAACTAAGAGATTAAAATCGCTTCATATCTTTCTTTCTACAAACTAATTCTATATTTTGGTACTGTATCCTCATATGCAATCTTTCTCCTACATATTACCACCTTTAACCTGACCACTACTATGAATCCGGTGTTCATCTTGCTGTGTTAATGAGGTATGGCAACTTGGACTGATGCATATATGTGCCTGGTTCTACGTTGTAGCTGACTGACTGACTAATGAAGAATGATGACTGACCATATCTTTTACTTGGTGATAATGATTCGCTAAAGTAATTGAGGTTCAGGTAACTGTCTCAAAAGAAAATTCTCATCATTAATCGACTTGTCAAACAATTTGTCACGTTAATCAAAATTCAATCTCAGTCAGTACTCATTAAATGTTACTGATATAACTTTGTAACTCAAATACCAAGTACAAACATATGCACTCTTTTTTGAGCTAAACCGTTCTCATAATGCAACATTAAATACGGACAGCACAAAAAACTAAATTGGTTCCCATCAGAACACAATATTAAACAATGGTTATTCCAGTAAAACTGAACAGTGGCTAGTGGTGTAGTACATGACATTGTTAAACTATCAAAGCTTATATATCCAAACAGTCATTTTGTATACGGCATTAGTTACAATTTTTTGGTTAATTGAATGTAACTGTCTTTTATTCATGTTTGACGTTTAGTAATATTCTTATTGTATTTTGAACGAAAGCCTTGAACATTTTGTCTGGAACATTGTTATGCACGATCTAATGTACTCATAGGTATGAGTTATCATAGAACATACATTTGAATCTTCCTCATTCATTTATTCTACCGAATCTGATTAGATATAAAAAGAAATTTGTGAATATTCGTATAGTGTTTTACTAGTGTGTTCAAAATAAGCCATTAATTTTGCATAAATGGATCCTTCATTCTTCAACGATTCCTTTAGATTATGACGATAATTCTCAACTTTAAAAGAAAATATTATTTTCCGAAACATTTCAACAGCTATGTGTTAAATGGTTCAAATTACTGCAATCGATTAATGAAACTTCAGGTAGTATTACGGTTCATATTGTACTGCAGCTAACCAAACTCATTTGAAATGTGCATACCGTAACTCGAATGACAAAACAATACACCATTTAGTGAATATGTTGGTTTTCTGTTGCATTCAGATGTTTGGATATGTAATTTAATAAGATCATGTTTACGAACAGTAATTATCAATTGATTCAAGTTGTCTCGGTCATCGTATGGTTAACGTGGTCGACAGTAATCAGTTAGCACTGTGTGAAGTGGTTAGTTTCGACTTATTCATTAGTACGTTTCATACATTGTCAGTTATTTATGGTAACCTGTAACACATAGTTAGCACATCTCAAAACAAGACTGTGATGGAGGAATTTTTGAATCTCCATGGAAAATTAATTTTCTTGAGAATTAAAACACACGTTCTGATATGTAAGTCTTTATGTGAATGAACCATCAAAACCCACTTACTACTACTCAACACAAATAAATGCCATCAAAGAAGAATTATTCTAAACCAAATCACCGAAATCTCTTCTTTAAATATCCGACATAAACTCAGATCATATGAAGAATAAAAATAACCCAAAAAAAGTATTTCATTCATATTATGAAATATTGAAAATTTATCACTGAATCTATGTAAATGGCAACATTTCAAAATATAATATTTTATTAAATATAATCAAAAAATATTGAGGTGATCTTGTAATGAATGAGAACACAAGTGGGGACAATCGAATGTATTTGAATAAAAAATTACAGAATCACTTAGTAAAATAAAAGAATTATATACTGATTTCTTCATTTGCATTATGTCAATCAATTGTCTCTAAGTTTATTAGTATCAGAAGAGGTTTTGTGAAGACTACAGTAGTTTCGATAGCTGAGATCATGGGTTAATTGAAGCTAGACCACTATGGAAGACCTGGAAGCACTGGACGGCCGTTTTGTCCTATTATGGGACACCTCAATAGTGCGCATCCATGATCCCGACTCACGAGATTCCAACCCAGAATCTACAAGTCTCGCGCACGAACGCTTAACCATTAGACCACTGAGCCGGCTGGCATCCTACGGTATTGATGTCTAACTTCAAGTAGTCCACGAAATCGAACAACACATCCACCATTGTCTTCAGTGAGTTACTATCTCACAACTAACCCGGCTGAACTCCACTGATCGCTGCTTCTCACTACAACTCCAGTATATACCTCTGGAAACCAGTCACTAGTGAGCATATGTTGATTAGCATCAGAAGTAGGTTTTGTAGAGATTGTAGTCAATTCAATAGTTCAGATCATGAGTCAATAGAAGCTAAGCCACCATGAAAAACCTGGAAGCAATTCCAGGTTTAAAATCAGACTTTATTGTTCCTTCGTTCCTATACCAATCATTCATTGTTCTTGTTCTCTTCCCTTCGATCTTTTTTTTAATCTTCTGCCACCAAGTATTTCACATTCAATCAATGATACATACTACTTATATCTGTTGATATCAATAACATACATCACAATCTAATGAAATAAGTTCATTAGGTTTTAATATAAATAATTTTATATCATTGTATTGAAGAGTTAAATTTTATTCATTTCTTTTATATATATACTTATCATTCTGATTAAGTAGATCATTTGACTAAGATGAAAAATAATATCGATTTTTTTGTTGTTATCAGTTAACTTAATTCTTATTTAAACTTTTATTTGTTTCTAGTTAACAACCCACATTCTCTAAATTTCAGATAAAAATAATCCATTAGATGAAAGCAAAGATTCTTGTTAAGTTCATCAAAAAAAAAAAAATAATAAATTAATTCCAGTTCCATTAGTGTATTCCCAAAAGTAGAATGTTAAAATTATCTAATTGATTGAATTGTCTTATAAATATAACAATAACAAAACTCAAATTAAATATGAGGAAATCAAATCTATATTAAATGAATCTTCTCATGGTCAAATATTTAAAACAATAAGCAAATAACTAAAACTTATATCATTCATAATATACAATATGGATGAATTATATTTAACTACAATTGATGTTGGACAATCTAATAAAGAAGATCAAATTAAAACTGTCAATAGAATAGATAATAATCAATTAAATTTAGTAACTATAAATGAAATAAATCAATATCATTCAATGATATTTGATCCATATATACAATATAATGAATTGTTATCAATCAATAAAGTAACCATATCGAATTTACAATACCCTAAAATACAAATACAGGAACGATTATTAGATATTTTACAAAATTTATTATTAATTTTCACCTTTTTACAATTTTGTATCATTATTTATTTAATTAATCAATATGATATATATTTAAGATTAAGGTCACCATTAAATGATTTACCAAATTATATAGCTACACGAATACCATGGATACCTGAACAATATAAATTAAAAAATCAAATGAATATAATTTGGTGGTCAATTTGTATGATTTATATTCCATTAGTGATAATATTTTGTAAATATTACTTAGAGTTTAATGAAAATGAGTAAGTAGTACTTTTTCTTTTTTATCAACTTTTTTATTGTATAAGTAGTGAGATTATAATTTATGGATGAACCAATCAAATATAAGATAATAGATCTTGGATTTTGGTGTGAAATTCACTCATCCATTTGGTTAAATAGAGTTTTACGATTATAGCTGATGATGAAAACCCTAAATGTAATTCCAAACCTTAACAATCAACTGTAAATCATAATTCGAATTCCTCACACTAGTTTATAACCTTCATTTGGTCCTGGTTGTTAGGTAAACTCTCTTAAGGTCAATTTAGTGTAGCTCAAAGGTTGTCTATAAATTCTAATCTAACCGCATAAGAATATTAAAAATAACAAAATTCTGTGAAATAGACAGTTTATTTTTTATTTGAACACATAAATATTGGTACAAGAGAGCGCCACAAAAGACAATGAAAATTTAAAGAGAAGGAAAAAGAAAAAAAGGTAAGGAGCGTAAAAAAAAGAGAACGATAACGATGAGATTGATGTAAGGTAGTGTAATAATAATAATGGTAATAATAAGGGAACGGAAAGGTACAATCACAAGAAATCTTTCAGTTAACGAAGATACAACCACTTTCTACGAAGAAAGTAAAAGAGGGTTACAGCAGGATCGCCACTGGCTTTTATTCTGAGCCATATCCGATAACGTCTCTTGCCACTGTGTCGCACCATCTCTAGGACCCCAGCCAGGGAGTTGCGAAGGACCAACAAAAGCCAGTCCTTTACAGCTTTCTATCATACCACGACACCATGTCATATACTGACGAACTCTACGCTTCTTCCAACCAGTCCCAGAGTCCGCAAATAATGCACGACGTGGAATTCTCTGGGACGAACATGTCCAAGCCACCGAAGTCGGTGTTTCAAGATTGGGACACCGATTGCATTACCGTTTCTGTGCCTGAACATAAGATGCTGAACCTCTGCATTACTAACATGATGTTGCCAGCAATCCTTCGGAGACAGTGATGATTAAAAACACAGAGAGTCGTCTAACATCCCCAACTCGGACACTAATTGACAACTAATTAAGTGAGGGTTGCACGGCTTGGGTAATATCGCAAAGTAAGACAATATCATCCGCATACTCAAGGTCGAAAAGTCTTTTCGCGGGCAACAGATCCACACCATCATTACTTACATCCATCAGAGCTGTTTCCAGAATGTCATCGATGGCAAAGTTGAAGAGGAATGGTGAGATTGGGCAACCCTGTCTAACCCCACTACTCGTATAGAACAATGGAGAGAGGTGGTTGTATGCCCTCACTCTGCCTGAGGTGTTTGTATATAGGGCTTTTAGGATGTTAATAAACTTCTCAGGCACACCCTTCTTCAATAGACAATCCCAGAGAACAGTCCTGTCCAACGAATCGAAGGCAGCCCTGATGTAAAGAAACACTACGATTGTTGGCCTTTGATAAGTATGGCGATGTTCTAACATTTGGCGGAGGATGAAGATATGATCAATACATCCTCGACCAGAACGAAACCCAGCCTGCTCCTCGCGAGTCAATCTTTCTCGGGTTTTGAACAACCTACGAAGTATGACGGAAGCCAATAGCTTGGACGCAATCGGAAGTAGACTTATCCCCCGATAGTTGTTGCAATAATGATGTGAACCCTTTTTAAAGATAGGGACAACTATCGACTCATTCCATGACGTTGGTACACTCTCTAATTCCCAAACCTTTGTAAACAACGTCGTCAATTCCTTAGTCAAAAAGTCACCACCATCTTTAAAAAGAGCCGGAGGTAGGTCATCTGGGCCAGGTGATTTGTAGCGCTTCAAGAGTTGAAGTTCCTTGCGGACTTCCGCCTCATTTGGTGGATCAGTCGTCACCGGCCATGGAGGGAAGGACAGTCTGACATGTTGCCGGAGCAGCAGGCCAGTTGAACTGCCCTTCGAAGAATTTCGCTCATCGTCCAAGACTTTGATGGATGTTAATGATTGGCATCCCATTACCCTCACAAATTGTTTCACTCACACCAGACTTCTTGCTGCCAGTAGCTCGGATGAGTTGGAAGAGCTTCCGGTAATTACCAGATGCAGCTGTTGCTTCCAGCTCACTAGCACGCTCCGACCACCAGGCTTCTCGGTACTTACGCAAGCTTTGCCCAATTTCACTACGTAACAACCTTCGTTTGTGATCAAACTCAAGGTCACCCGGAGTAGACCGATGGGCTTCAATGAGTTGTAAGGAACCAGAAGAAACCCAGTGCTTATAAGCGGGACGTTTCGCAAACCCACAACTAGTCAGTTGTGGGTACCTGTACCCGCCATTTTCATGGTGTCATGCAAATGCAACCAATGATCATCTATACTTTTCGGTGAACTATGATGTAGTAAATAATAATAATAATATTATAATAATAATAATAGTAATGATAATAATTTGAATCATTTGATTGTTAGTTGAAGCAAGAAAAGTAGTTTCCATAACTATAGACATCTCAGCTCATCATTTGTGTGTGGGTTGTGATACTGGTTGGGTGCCCAGATCGAAGAAGGTGGTTATCTTAGGGGGGTCACACCCCGAGCCTTTGACCTAAAGGTTTAACCCACTAGGCAGTCAAGCATCGCAAGGAGGAGCAGTCCCATGGTAGCCGGTGATCGAGAATTGGTTCATACGCCATTCGTTCCCGCAGGATCTGGGGCCCATGTGCACCATTGGCTTGGGATCCGGTTAAAGCGCCTTACATTCACTTTTCGTCCTCTCATTTTCGTGAACAACAACCCCGCCACGAGAATGCAGTGAGAAGGACTTCTCTGGCAGAGGGTGTATACGCGTAACTGTGTAAGAATATTTCGAGCGGGAAAGCGAACCCACCTTGCTCTCGGCCATACCAGGGCATTTGGGGGCGAAATAGACAGTGAACATATTTGATAGTGATAATTGTTAGATGCAAAATAAATATTCCCCCAAGTTTTTTTTTATTCTCCAGTGTATTTGAATTATTATTCTTAATGAAATATTGTTCAAGAGTTATGATTTCCAATGAGAGTTTGAAATTATTATCACAAGAAACGATAGATATGTATGGGATTTATTTATTTATTTACTCAGTCAATAGTCACTCTAAAAACATGACAGTGTTCTTGATCCATATGTACTTAGATTTTTTTTCAAAGAATATAATTTGTTAAGATTTATTTCAAGACATTTTAGTGATCAATGGTAATACGAACAACAAAATCCAAAGCACATAGTGTGATATGTGCTACTGATGTCAACAGATATAAATAGTATATTCGATCAGTTGAAGGTGAAATGCCTGGCAGAAGAAGACTGAGATCGAAGAGAAAATGATGAGATTATGGAAATGAAAGAAAAATGAAGTCTTAGACGATTGATTGATATTTTGCAAATGAAGTATTTATTGAGATGGTGGAGAAGATTTGTAGCTCAGGTGGATGATTTTGGTGGAGTTTTGTTCTCTGAGCTGGATGGTTTGGTCGTGGAGCTTTCATCGATCTTCTGAACGACATCATCAGCACAAACTTCAAATAGAAGTGAAGTGTTCGAATTTCTCCACATGTGTTTCACAGCTTGTTCTGTACACCTCGATGTTGATTGGTTCTTGTTGACCCTAAATTTATCATTGTTTACTTCTTTGTTTTGGTTGTGTCTCCCATTGGTTTGATTTTCGTAGGAACAAAAATCAAACCAATGGGAGACACAACCGAAACAAAGAAGTAAACAATGATAAATTTAAGGTCAACAAGAACCAATCAACATCGAGGTGTACAGAACAAGCTGTGAAACACATGTGGAGAAATTCGAACACTTCACTTCTATTTGAAGTTTGTGCTGATGATGTCATTCAGAAGATCGATGAAAGCTCCACGACCAAACCATCCAGCTCAGAGAACAAAACTCCACCAAAAACAAGTATTTATTATATGATTCTCAAATTTTACTAAGAGATTCTGTAATTGCCTCAATATTGCCTTAAATCACAAGCATTATAAACAGAGATGGATGGGGACTAGCAGTAGAATACATGACGCAGGTTTTGTCTTATTTAGGACTCACTACCATGATGTACTTGTTAAGGAGTGAACATCAATGTTAGTATGCAAATGCATCTAGCCGACAAATCTTAGATAGAACGAAACACGTGTCCCGGATTCCACTGTTAACCACTTTCCATCTTTTCTTATAATGCTTGTGAATTAAAGTAATATCGAGGCAATCCACACAGAATGCACATATGCCAATAAGAGACTGATCAACTGTAGTCTTAAACATCAATGGGAAGATTCGAGTAAACAATACCGAGTGAATCTAAACGTTACCACATTGCACAAGCAAGCTAGCGATCACGACTCAGCAGCTAAGTGAACAAAGCGATGATGTTTGAAGCAGACGGTACTGGGTTCGAGTCTCAGAGTGAAAATAGACTCTGGGTTCTAGACACATCCAGCTGATGAATCCCAAACAGGACGGAACGCGTGTCCTGGATTCCAAGGCTAGCCACCATCTATCTCTGTCCCAAATTCTCAACATTGAGCTAGAAACTTTTCATGGGTAGCATTAGTGCCTTTAATACTTCATATTTTCCTTGTTGACGCAATTATTTTAATCCATTGATTAAACGATCTTCTCTATGTCAAGTGGACAAATCATTTAGTCAAAATGTGATGTTATATAATTTTACCAATAGCGTCCTATGATTTGATATTGTTTATAATGTAGAAAACTCTTTCACGCACAAATTTCAAATAATGATGTAAATTTATGTTTAAATCTCCAGTCGTTCGCTTCAAATGAATTCCGAGTCTTATCAGGCATACATTGAGATAAAAACCTTTTTGTTGTTAACTTATGGAGTTAGATTATTTATCTAGTTGTACATAACAAGATATCTAGAACATAAAATGCATAGATCAATCTCATTGTTTTACATTGGAAAACTTAAGTTCGAAAGATAAAACCCAAGTGAGGTTAGAAATTATTTTCTTTTATTAAAAAAAATCATTATTTGAATCTTAACAAAAGTATATTATTAGTGCTAATTGAAAAACTGATTATTGTAAGTTCAATCGGTGGACAAAAGCGATCTGTAAGCGTGATCTCATTGTTATTAAAATGAGTTTACAAGCACCATATAGCTACGGTGATAACAGCACCATAATTGTTGCGATTCATAAAACTACATTATTATATCATGTTATTATGTTTATATAACTAATCGAGTCTTATGAATTGTCCTACTCATGTACACATTGACACTTTATCCTTAATTCTTTCGAATCAAATGCCACTAATTGAATTTTATGATGTAAATGGGATAAATACGAAACTTCTAAAGGAGATGCATCTGACGCATGAAACAGACACTTCGTTAAAACCAACGGCACTATTTGTTTCCAAATAATGATATTTATGAATACAATGACATTAATTTTAGATGTTCAACTAAGTTTTAGTAAAGTTGATTTACGAAACTAAAGCAAACACTTGGTTATTAATAGGAGGAATGTTGTTCAAAAAGATTGTACATTCTAGTACAGTATCATTGATCATAACAACTGATTGTTAACAACCATCATTTACAACTGGATCTGTAGTGAGTGACTCATCTTTAAAATTATGTGCTATGATAACCATCTATTATGATTTATATTTTGCAAGGTTTAAACATGGTCCTTCGTAAGAAAGCTTCACAAGTAACCCTAAAGTATATCATTTCAAAGGTTCGTTCATAGACTTTTTCAGAGTGAGTTCCTAACACTGAATATCGTTATGTAGGGTGAGGTCAACCACCACTTTGCAGAGAACACTATACATCTCTCTTTAACTGTAATCTTTATTGATAAGGACTAACTCTAAATTTAACATTCTTCACAAATCAAACATGTTAGAGTACTCCATTCACTTATTGTATGTTTTTTTCATTTAATAATGTGTTAACCTTTAGAAACTGCTTTAAACATGTAATATTCACTTTTAATATAACAATGTACACTTTTATATTTTTAGACTTAACAAAGAAAAGAATAAATGGATAATGAAAGGAGATATACAAGAATCTCAGTCAGAACAATCTTATAAGAAGATAGTATGTGGTAAAAAATCTCGCCAACTCATACCAGTCTGTTGTTTTACGACAAGTACATTTTTATGGTTATTCTATCTTATAGGTTTTTATAGTAAGTTAATAAACATTAGTATCAGTAGGGGTTTCGTGGAGATTGTAGTAATTTCAATAGTTCAGATCATGAGTCAACTGAAGCTAGATCACAATGGAAAACTTGGAAGCACTGGACTGCCATTTCGTCTTATTGGGGGACCCACCAGCAGTTGACTCATGACCTCAACTAATAAACATTAATTATTCTATAATTTACTATTAGCAAGTAATTATATTAATAGTATTGATTTGTATATTAAATTATCAATGACAAATTGAGAGCAAAGATGTGATGTTACCTAATCAATTACACATAGATGTAGTCAGAAAAACAACAAATATTAAATAAAAGATTAAGGATGATTTCCGATTGTGTATTAACATAACTTAGGTTTGTATGGAATAATGGAGGCAATACATGAACATTACTGAATTAAACCTTTTAAAGAGAATATATCCTTTAAAATCAATCTCTACAGTTACTTATTAATTGTTAATTTAGATTAATTGAGCATTTAAGAACAAGTTTAGAGGTTGTCTGTAAATACAAAAGATTTGTAATTTAAATTTACCACATAATGAAAATATTAGTCGAGTTTACATAACGATAGACCCTACAAGACATAAAATAAGCTACATTAAGTGAGCCTTACTTATTATTTTTATGAATTGGTTGAAGTTAGACCTTAACATCATTGGATGACAGCTCAGTGTTCTAAGCAACTGCGCGCGAAACGGATAGGTCCTAGGTTCGAGTCCTGCGGATGGGATCGTGGATGCGTAGTGTTGAGGAGTACCATACTATGACCAAACGGTCGTTCAATGCTTTCAGGTTTTTTATATTAGTCTAACTGTAACTGACTACTGATATCAAATTCTATCTATAACTAAAAAGTTCATTTTCCAATTGATTCACTATTGAAATGTATAAGAATTCTAGAATCATTAGATTTTAACTTTTTGATTTAATTGATGAATAATTTTCTATGTATCTTTCTTTTACAAGACTGTTTATATTTTATCCATTACAATTATTGGCGCAAAATTATACATAATTGGCTTTATCAATTACATAGTTTCTATTTATTAAATTTAAATGAATTATCTAATGGAATCTCACAAATATCACCACTAAAAACGCATCATCTACTAGATGATAGTGAAAATTCATTTTTGATCGTTGATATTATTCAAAAGATGTTTGAATGTTGTGGAATTGATAAAGGGTATATGGATTGGGTATCTAATCATATGAAAAGACCATATTTGCATACTTATCAAAATTTGATGAGGTAAGATTGATAAGTTTATAAACTTTTTAATTATATAACTATCAACTAATCATTTTACTTTAAGCACATAAGTCAGATCAGTAGAATGAGAGATCCAACTTTTTGGTTAATATCTTTAAAATAACAAAAAAAAATAACCGTAAAAACAATTGATAACCTTCAGTGGCTCGTGGATCTGACTCTGTGAAGATCGTACGAATGTTTGTTATCACCTATCCTCGTATACAATCATCGACTTAAATCACGTTAGTCAATGACGGAATTTAGATAAGTCAATTAACGAGAATGGCCTTTGAATACATATATTTTGTATGTAAAGTGAATGTAATAGAACAAAGCAAAATGACGCGTAGGAGAGTTGGCTGGTGATCCAACTCCATTTCTAGCCAGGCGTTGCGCAATATTTATAGGCAGACAAAAATAAACTACAGACATGTGATGAGACATGGGATATCGAGTGTACTCACATATACGCTCATATAAAAACAGTCAAGACTGATAAGTGAATAATTAACAAGGTCCAAAAACTAGAATAAGATATATCATGGGCTTAAAATAATGACTGACACTACAAACCTACGTTACAGTCGATCACAGTGACATGGAAAATTTATATTATTATTATTATTACTATTATTAATGACTTTATTCAGTATTATATTTTGGTACAATGTAGAATTCTTAGCACAAGGTATTTCAACAAGTTTCTTTTACAATGAAAAAACAAAAAGAAGAAAGGAAAATGGTTAAAAAAATCTGAAAAACTATACAACTTTCCAAATTAGAGATATGTTATGAGTGCAGGTTATTGACTAGGTTAACTCTAACAACTTGTTCTTTACAGAGAATATTTCCTAGGTAAGGTATTATAGAACTTTTATACTTTTGCTTGCGTGCATGGATTTTAATGTAGTTACGTCTCGCTCTATCAGAAGATATACAAGGAGAATGATATGAATGAAATGGATGGTTAGTATCTGATAAGATAACATCTGTCAGGAGTTTGCAAGAGTTTAGATGTCTATCCACAACCATAATAATTATGATTTCGAAAGATTCACCACACATCTTGATTACTGCCTTCAGCACTCTCCGCAATACAACAAAGTCTTTTCTCAAAAGCCTGGGAAAGAATGACTGAGAACAGTAAAGAATAACAGGTGATATGCAGGAATTGACAAATTGTAAGAGTAAATGACGAGTAATCACAAGAGGATGCAATCTTTTTATATAGTAAGTCAGACAAAAAACCTTCTTTGATAACAGTAAAACGTGAGAAGGCCAAGAGAGATCAAAGGAAAAGGTAACACCTAAATAATTAACCTTCGGCACTATGTTTATCAAAGAGCCAGTGTCATGTTTTGTATTATCTTAATAGATTACTAAAACTTTCTTTTTCTGAATTGTCATCAAATATGGTAAACTAAACCTACATACTGTGTTCCATTTACCAACTAGTCAGATTTAGTCTTTAGTTTTATGTTAGATATTAATATTTCAAATGTCAGTCATTCACTCTTTCTTAAATCTACATATACTCGATATATTTTAAGCTTTTAATTGTGTTTAATTGTGTGTAAATGTATAGTAATATGGACAAGCCTTAAAAAAGAACAATAAGAAATTTTAGTTTACAGAAAAAACAATAAAATTGAAAAGTATAAGCAGATTTTATACTATCTTAACAGATTATTCTGGTTGTAAATCGAAACGCCAATGAAATATTAACTTAGTCTAATGGACGTAATTATTCTTCGAGAATTCTTAAAAGGGCTTAAACAGATTTTATAGAGTCTCTATATTGTCCTTGGTTAGAGTTAGGTATTTAAGGGTTAAGATTGATAGTTTATGGTCAGGGCTAATCACCCATAAATGAGTTTAGTTATAATGTAAAAATGGTCATATGAATAAATGAATTTTGCACAAAAATATTAGAGGAGATATCTGATTATTCCATTCATAAAATAAAACCCTAACAGGCCAAGGCTTGTTACATAATTAAGTGTTTTTTTTATTAAGAATTAGAGATAGTGTTAATCTGGCTATTATATACAGTTGAGTTTTTATTAAGATTACTAACCGAATAATCTTACATCACCATCGGAAACCTGAAAACACTGGACAAGCCGCTTCGTCCTAGTATAAGACTACTCAAGAGTGCGCATCCACAACGTCATACGTGGGATTCGAACCCAGGAAATTCGATCTTGCGCGAACTTTTAACCTCTAGACCACTGAACCAGCATCCAAAGGTGTTGATGTCTGATTTCAATCAATCTATGGTATTGCGCCACAATCTTCCATTGTCGTTGGTAGATAACAACCTCACACTCGACACTATTGAAATTCAATGTTCATGACTACTCATGGGAACTCTTAGGACTACTCCTCAAAGTTATACACTAGTGAGTACGCGATCTCACTGAAAACTCAAAAATCTCCACAACCTTATATGGATATAAGTTTAATACGTTTAGTATTATCATTTTCACTCTATTGTTGATAAAAACAATTGTTCTCTGTTATATTAAATGTTTTAACAATATACAGAAGTATTTTTACTGTTTATTTAACATATTTAAATTTCTCGGAAAAGCCTAAGAGTTATATACTCTATTTCCATCCAATCATCCCTATATATTGAGATTTAGATGGTGGTTGGAGGTAGTCAACAGGAAACCCTGGACCCGGGTTTCGTGCTACTTGGCACTCGTCAGCAAGGTGTACCTGCAATCTTGAGGGAACTGGTGCTCCCTGGCGGATTCGATCTCGTGTCACCCAGCATCACAGTCAGAGACGTTACCACTGAGCTATCCGAGCCGTGTCTAACCCCCTGTAGGATTGAGATGTAATTACAATTGATTGATCACTGGGTGGTCAGATCGAATCCGCCAGGGAGCACCAGTTCCCTCAAGATTGCAGGTACACCTTGCTGACGAGTGCCAAGTAGCACGAAACCCGGGTCCAGGGTTTCCTGTTGACTACCTCCAACCACCATCTAAATCTCAATACATAGTGCCGGCAGTGTCGAGTCACCTAGACTGGTGGCCACATTGCAACATGATCGATAGCATTCGATCTGCACTAATAAGGACTAGACAAGCAAGACATTGATCACCACCCAGTGATCAATCAATTGTAAATAATCATCCCTATACTACACTTACACATGATATTGTTTCTTCACTTCAAACATTTTTCAATTACTATCAAATAGTTTGTGGGGCAGTTACTAAAATTAAAACAAATTAACTTTCATATATTTTTTTTCAAAAGTTAAAACAATAATCATGTACTTTCGTTAGATTTGCACAGATACACAATAGTATGAGTAACATGACTATAAAAATGTTTCCCCTAGATTGTGTTTGCATTGTGAAATGTTGCATCACAAATAAATTAGGTTGAATATGTTTAATTGATATTTGGTGGTACAAATGATATCCAATGATTATTGTTCATAGGTACTCGCTTACTTAATTACGCCTGTTACCTCTCATGGAGGAGCATAGGTCTTCAGCCAGCATTCCCCATCAAACTCTGTATTGGACAATACTTTACAATTGTTTCCAGTTGCTATTCATTCATTTTTTAGGTTTTCTAAGATGGTCTAGCTTCAACTGACTCATGATCTGAACTATTGAAATTACTACAATCTTCAAAAAACCCTTTCTGACACGTTAAACTACTTTCACTATTGTTTTATTAATCATTTGATTTTTTAAAGTCGAAAGAAATTCAATGTTTGTTTTTTTATTTTTCTTTATCAGAAATGTAAATGATTCCCATGAAGCAAATTATTCAATTGAAATATTAACGAATACTAGTGTACCATTTAGTTGTTATAAAAGAATCAAATATATTTTAGGCAAAAACAATATACTACTTACTAATCGTATTAATATTAGTTTAGTTAGTGATAATGAATTATTTCATAATAAAGGATGTGTTGAACCAATTTTATACTTTCTTACATCGAAATGGATGAAATTACAAATGTTATGCCTACTAATAATTATACTCACAATGGTAAGTTATTACATTACAACTAGTGTAATAATCCTTTATGAAGTGAATATTTTTGAAACTATGATATATCTTGTTTACTATTATGATAATAATAATATCGATAATAACAGTGATTATGGTAACAACAACGGAAATGAGACTGATAAGGACAATTGAAGAGTTTCAGTTCATTAATTATCGAAAAATTAAAAAAAAACCCACCTTTACTTTCACAATGTTTCAGAGTTCTTTAGTATATGCTAGTGAATGATTTCACAGAATTAGTTATAAACTTCCTTTTCCTGAATAATGTTGCTTATAGTTATTTCATTCAATAATCTTTATAAATGTTGTTATCTATAAGAGGTAATTTTTGAAACAGAAAACATTCTCCTGATACGTAAAGTTCGAAGAAAAAGATAAAATCAATAGTGGATGAAATATATCAAGTATTTTAACCAAATACACTCATTTATGTGTCGATTTTATTGATGCTTGGTTATTAGTTAACAATCAGATACAGAGGAAATAAAAAAGTAGATAATACACAAAATCAATGATACAAAACTCATATTAGATGTCATTTTAACTTATACAATTGTATGTTCATATTTGATAACATAGAACAATTAAATGCTACCTGATAATCAATTTTGTAATGATAGTCAGTTGAAATGAACATTCCTAAACATTCAAATACATACCAACTAGAATCTGAAGATCTAAGCCCTAATCTGTTTAAGTTTTAAATATTATGTTATTTTGTTATCAAACTTTATAGTACATTTAAAATGATGGGCTTAAGTGATATGAACATGAAAGAAAAATTTAGATTGATAAACATTCGAGATTTAAAATATTCAACTTTGAACTCTGTAAACCTTCGATATACAAACCGGTAGACTTTCAATCCTAGATATTAATCAAATTATGTACCAAATATTCACCGAATAATAATCAATATTGTATTTTCTATTTTTTGGTTCCAGTTGCAGTCCATAGATTAAGTTCCGATTAGCTCACTACATGAAGTTACATCGAGATACACTATGACATTAGGTGATTAAATACAATCAAGTAAAATTTCCTGTATTTAGATTACATTTATCTGCATGGTATATTCTAATTTCGGTTGAAATGACCACCCTTAATCACCTAGTCTTCCAATCAATAATGTTATTATTAAGGTTTAAATGTTAAAAAATTACTCTCCTTAACAACTTGAAGATTAAAACCTTTCTGCCATTTGCCACAAGAAATATGAAATACACTATCTTTGTTGTATACAACTGATAAGAAATCACAGACATATAATGAATTCATATTATTCTACCGCATTTGTTGTATCGACTGTATTTAAATCCTTGTCAAAGTCAGATTGTTGATTGGTGATATTCATTTGAAGTAGATCAAATATTATTAACCACTTATAGAGATGTTATTACCCTAATGATTATTTAAGTAACTTAGTATAAATATTCATTCAATATCATCCATATAAAAAATATAGATTGAACCATTAAATACATTCAAGATTTTTTCTTTAGCTAATTTTAACACAAATGTATAAGTAGTATTCAACTTTTTATTTTTTAAGATTCCTCAAATAATCGTGATGTTGGCAAATATTCAAAAGGAAGAATTATGGAAAAAAACAAAGACACTAATGAATACAATTATGAACATTACAAAGAATGGAATAGTGAAATTTATAGAAATAACGAAAACTGGGCTATCTCAATTAAAAAGATTTTTTCTCGTACATATTGTAGGTTTAAGTTGGGTTTTAACATTATGATATATATTCATTTTATAAAGTTGTTTACTGATAATCTGATTTATTTACAGTTTTTAACCTTTATTCATTCTAAGCAAAGATGGATAGTGGATAGCAGTAGAATCCAGCGTTTCGTCCTGTTTGGGATTCGTCAGCTGGATGTACGTGTATCTCCAATTTGATGTGTGCTCTGGGACTCAAATTCAGTACTGTTCGCTTCAAACACCATTGCGTTATTTACTTAGCTACTGAGTTCTGATAGTCACTAGCTTATGAAATAGAGTGAAGTGTAAATTCATTTTGGATTGTTTGTGTGAATCTTCCCATTATTGTTTAGAAATGCTATTGATCAGTCTTTTATTGGTATATGTGCATTCTGGTTATTTCTACGGCAATATGTTCACTTAATCTAAAGTACAAACTAATTAAATTTCACTTTCAGTTCATTTTTAAAGAGTTCCTACAAAACCAACAGTTGCTGAATCGAATATTGTGTGAGTGAGGGAAGATGTAATATAACACAATGAATACTTAGTTGAATATTTAATCATGTTGAAATGTTTTCATTTTTCTATACATAGTGACTTAGAATCACTTATGTTCACTTGCAGCTCATCTTTCTGGTCACTGTCCTGATCTATGACTTTCTTCATAGTGTTTACATTGCTTTAGTACTATGTACTCGATAACTTAATCTTACTTTCTTTAATCCAGTTCAAAATGGTAATTTTGATTTTTTTATAAATTTCATCTGCTAGTTCCAGTTAAGGTAAGAGGGAAAACCAGGTAGCATTAGATAGTGGTTTCGTCTCAGTATGGGGCTCTTCGACAGTTTACACCAACAATTCAGCTAGAGATTACACTCAGTACTTCCATATCTTACAGTATGGAGTTAATCAATTAAAGATATTAGGTTAATGATCATTTTCAGCTTCAAGCTATGATTAATATCATTTATGAATTTGAACAATTTTTACAAACTCGATTGCCGAAAATGATACAAAATTATTTTTCTTAAAAGTTATCTGCTTATTTTAAATATTTAAAATTAGTTTTCATCACTAACTGTTATTTAACAATAATTATGCTTCATTCATTGATGATGTTATAATTAGAAGCCATGATTAGTCATTTCTAACTGTTGAAATTGCGATATACATTATTGATGTTATCAAATGAAAGTCAGGCAATATTCAAAAATGACTCCGTTTAACGCAGAAATCTTACTCTCAGTATCATTAAAGCTCATAACTTCATTCTACTCATCAACTAGAGATAAACCGTTGCTCAGTACTTCCTTGATTTTCATTGATTCACCAGTTAATGTTAGTTATTTTTTTGAAACCTATCTTCTGAGTTTAGCTTTCAAAAATCTAGTGTAGAATGTACTTGCCTAACTAAAAATAAATTTCGTTCATGAAAGTTTTTGACATTCTTGATATTTTATGATTACTGAATATAAATGTTTCCAATTCTGCACTACAATTTTCTAACTTTTCGTAAGTAATCAGTAGTATTATGGTATGTGCTACTTATATCAACATAAATAGTATATAATGGTAGTCAGGAATAGAATATTTTGCAGCAAAAATGTCGAGAATATTAATGAGGAAAGAACGGGAACAGAAAGCAATTGGTATGAAAATGCAGGAACAATGAAGTCTGAGACAATTAACGAAGTATTTATTGTATGGTTCTCAGATTTCACTAATATATCGATTGTAACAACTGTTGTTCTCTTTCACTGTTATCGGTCAACAGATAGCCAAAACACTCGAAATATGGGTTTATTTAGTGTTGACATCTCAAATCTGTTATTTATTAGCGCTAAATAGTTATACAATTGGCTTTAGATTTGGTTTCTGTTGTCAAAGATTATTTCTATAAGTGGAAATGAAACGTAGCAACTTCTTGATTTTCGAATAATTACTTTGATTATTATTAATCCTCTTGTCATGACTTTATGTCCGGCTTTTATCACGTGATTTATCGAAAAAACAAAATACGACTTATACAATCTTCGCAATGTGCCAAACCAATGACGTCCGACCGGTATGACCAGTCAAGCGTTCTTATTGATCCTATGTTCGCCTAGTCCGTCCACTTGAGTCTAGAACAACAATACCAGCTTCTGCAATTTGAATAATTTATTTCAAACATATTCGGTTTATATATTAACCACACAGACCACAACGTATCATGAAATAGAAAATAACATTTGTACAATATTTGGCCAAATGTGGCTGTGAACGTGGGAGACAATAGTCAATAAACTGAACATAGCTTAAGAACAGTAAATCGTACAATAGTAAATTATAGGTCAAAATAAAGCTTATAATAAGAGAAATATAAATATGCATAATCTAATTATTGAATAGTTATACCATAAGAATGTATAGATAATATTAGTTAATTAATATATCTCAGAATTTACTCGTGATTTAATCTTCGTTCGGATATAACACCTCTTTCTTCCAATTACTTTATGTTAATTTATAATCGAAATGTCATCATGTAATAATTACATAACGTATCCACTCGATGAGTATTACTTCATTATTGTAAATCATATATATTAGTGTTGGGCCATAATGAGAAACTAATTGGAAAGAAATTTCACCGCTCGATTCGTTCCTTCTTTATTTACCAAATGGAAATTAATTAAAAAAAGATTATTTACAATAAATTAACTTTTCAAAACACTGAACGCATATAAATACTTCCCCCCTCTAACATAATATTTACTATTTTTCACTTATCATTCATAGTTAAACATAAAAAATTATGAAGGATACTTTGAAAAATTATTAGAATCAGATGAAACATTTTACTGCAAACAATTAACTAGACATGAATTAGGTGCTGTTAATCAAGAAATAAAACTCATTGAAACTACACTTCAAAAATCTTCATCGATATTAGACCAAAATTCTAATCAAGAACAACAACAACAACAGAGTCAACAAATCAAACAATCAACTAGACCAGGAAAAAAACGAAATTATTACCAGCTAACAAATCAACAACAAGAACAACAACAGCAACGACAGCAACAAAAACACCGGCAGTACTCAGTGAAATATGCTTCACATAGAAAGTCGATTATATTTACAAATTTAAATAGAATTCCCGTAAATAAATTACATAAATCATATGTACATATTAGATCTAATGGAAAATTAGATAAAATTAATTCACATTTAAATGAACGACCAATATGGAAATATACTTATAACGTATAATAATAAAAGCTTTTCATAGGAACTTATAATTCCTACAAACTATCAATGACAATATTGAAAATAATATCTCTAGAAGAGATACAATTAACACTAATAAAACACTAATAAAAAAATTCTATTTTGAATTGAATAAAAGCAAAGTATTTATGTAAAATGTGTTCCACATTAAATTCAGTGAATATTACAATTATCTTTTCTGAGTTTTCTTATGTTCTCAAAAATATAAAGAGTTTAATGATAATAAGAAACATTGAAAACCATAAGTGAGAATTGGGGCTAGTAGTGGGATCCAGGACGCGCGTTTCGTCCTATTTGGAAATCATCAGCTGGATATACCTGCAAGCAAAACGATACCACGTGAATTTAAATTCACCGCATTGCACAAGCAAGTTGCTATCAGGACTCAGTAGCTAAGTGGGTAACGCGATGGTGTTTGAAGCGAATGGTACTGGGTTCGATTCTCAGAGTGAGCATCAACTCTGAGATGCAGGTACATCCAGCTGTGTATAAAAAAATTAAATAAATATATACACTATTAAGAAGAATACAATTTTCTTACATATGTTAGCTTCACGCAAAAGTAATATACTTGCTATCAAGTTCAATAAAAGTAATAAGTAAGATTACCAAGTACAAATAAGTGTAAGCGACAGAAATGTCAAATAAAGCACACAATTACTAGTGAGCAAATATTAGAATATAAATGACTTAAAGTCCATAATGATTGTATGAAGATGAATGAAAACTTATCGTTAATTTTAAACACAAAATATTAATTTATTTTAGTTTTCTAATTGAAAAATGAGTGAATTGTGTACAGCTTAATTTTCTAAATAGAAGAAAGCATCTCTTTGAGTATTTTAAGCCAATAAATTCTTCCATCAGATCTAGTTGTCTCATTATTAAGTGAAAACTGTCAAGAATTCTTCAAGTGAAAATAGTCTAGTCGGGAACTGTCACTAGGTGATTCCAATTACTTTCTCATACTGTTACTTTGAACAAATACATGAGTGCACTTGTGCAGTATTTTCTCGAATGAATATGTACTTTGTACACAACTGCACTCTCTATTCGTAGTTTTGTTACAGGACAATCATGACAGGATACATACTCGTGAGCTTGCATCACATTCGATTCTCAATGTACGACATCTGTGAAGTACCAAGCAATTTTTTGTTCATTAAACGAGTGAATATTATATATAAGAGCACAGTTTTTACCAGGAATCTTATTTCAAGCTCTAACTTTAACCTCATTTGCTCTTTTCATCCGGCAAGTTCGATACGGCACAGTGACATGTTCATAGAAGACCTAGAGAGACAGTTTGGATGGTTAAAATGAGGACCTCAGTAAAAACTACATATTTGTGTACTGGAATGACACATTAAATGAACGGAAGAATTTTGGATGTCAGATATTGAACTTTTATCGAACACTGGAAAAGGATGGTTATCCTCACACGGACATTCACGTGCGTCTAACAGGTGACGGCCCATTTTTGTGTTTTGACTAAAACCAGGAACTTCATCTCAAACAATGAGTTCAATATTACCATTGGATAAGCTTACTCAACTCCGCCTGTAGCTCTCATAGGGTTACTGCCGGTCCCAAGCCCGGGTAAAGGAGGAGGGTTGGGCATGGGGTTAGCGTCCCCATCCCGTAGAAAACTAACTCGCTAAAAAGCGCTTACCAGAAAAAATAATCCAAAACATTTAAACTCTGCCCTGGGAGTTAGAAGGTCTTCATTTAGAAGAATTATGACGCTTCATGGTGAAAGCCGAGTTCCTTCGGAAGCCACGAGGCCGATGCCCCTTCTAACAACCAGAGCAAAAATTGTTATAGGTACATGGAACGTTCGAACAATGTGGGAAACCGGGAAGACCAGTCAAATAGCAATGGAAATGAGGAGATACAACTTAGCAGTACTGGGAATCAGCGAAACCCACTGGACCCAAGCTGGACAGAAAAGGCTAGCTACGGGAGAGATGCTGCTATACTCCGGTCACGAAGAGGACAATGCTCCACACACTCAGGGAGTCGCTCTTATGCTGTCCAAAGTAGCACGAAATGCACTTGTAGGATGGGAATCTCACGGATCCAGAATCATCAAAGCATCATTCAAGACAAAGAAGGAGGGGATCTTAATGAATATTATCCAATGTTATGCACCCACAAATGATAGCAACGACGACATTAAAGATCAGTTCTACGAGCGGCTGCAGTCAGTCATTGAGAAATGCCCAAGAAAGGACTTAACTATTCTGATGGGAGATCTAAATGCCAAAGTCGGAATAGACAACACTGGATATGAAGATATTATGGGACGACATGGACTGGGAGAAAGAAACGAAAATGGAGAAAGATTTGCAAATCTATGTGCATTCAACAAATTGGTCATAGGAGGCACAATATTTCCACACAAGCGTATACACAAGGCTACATGGATCTCACTGGACCACACTACAGAGAACCAAATAGATCATATTTGCATCAACAAAAAATTCCGAAGGACAATGGAAGAAGTGAGAACCAGGAGAGGCGCTGACGTAGCTTCAGATCACCACCTAGTTGTGGCCAATTTAAAACTGAAGCTAAAAAAGAACTGGACAAGTGGACAAACAGCACTACAAAGGTTCAATACAGCCTTCCTTCGAGATACTGACAAACTCAATGAATTCAAGATTGCTCTCAACAACAGGTTCCAAGCCTTACAAGATCTACGGAAGGAAGAAGAAACTAGTATGGAGGATAACTGGAAAGGCATCAGATCTTCCCATAGACGTCGACCCACCAACGAAGGAAGAAATCAGAATGGCCGTCAGACAAATCAAGAACGGGAAAGCAACGGGTCCGGACAACATACCAGCTGAAGCACTGAAGTCAGACATCGAAGAACTACAAACATGCTTCACCTTCTATTCAAAAAGATTTAGTAAGATGAACAAGTGCCGATGGACTGGAAAGAAGGGCACCTCGTCAAGATTCCAAAGAAAGGAGATCTGAGCAAATGTGAAAGCTATAGAGGCATTACACTGCTGTCAATACCAGGGAAGGTCTTCAACAGAGTGTTGCTGAACCGGATGAAAGATGCAGTAGACGCCCAACTTCGAGATCTACAAGCTGGATTCCGTAAGGATCGATCATGCACAGACCAAATTGCAACACTACGGATCATCGTCGAACAATCAGTTGAGTGGAACTCATCACTATACATCAACTTCATTGATTATGAAAAAGCATTCGACAGTGTAGATAGGAGGACATTACGGAAACTTCTTCGACACTACGGAGTTCCTGAGAAGATTGTCAACATTATCCGGCACTCATACGACGGACTACAGTGTAAAGTCGTGCATGGAGGACAGCTGACAGATGCATTCCAAGTAAGGACCGGAGTCAGACAAGGCTGTTTACTCTCTCCCTTCCTCTTTCTTCTGGTGGTCGACTGGATTATGAAGACCTCGACATCTGAAGGAAAACACGGAATACAATGGACAGCTCAGAATCAATTAGACGATTTGGACTTCGCAGATGACCTAGCCCTCTTATCGCATACACACGAACAGATGCAGATGAAGACAGCCAGTGTAGCAGCAGTCTCTGCATCAGTAGGCCTCAGTATACACAAAGGGAAAAGCAAAGTCCTCAAATTCAAAGCGGAAAACAACAATCCAATCACTCTTGATGGCGAAACTTTGGAAGATGTAGAATCCTTCACATACCTGGGAAGCATCATCGATGAACAAGGAGGTTCAGATGCAGACGTAAAGGCAAGGATTGGCAAAGCAAGGACAGCATTCCTACAGTTAAAGAACATATGGAACTCAAAACAACTTTCAACCAATATCAAAGTGAGAATCTTCAATACCAACGTCAAAGCAGTTCTACTGTATGGAGCTGAAACTTGGAGAACTACAACAACCACCATCAAGAAGGTACAAGTATTTATAAATAGCTGTCTACGCAAGATACTCAACATCCATTGGCCGGATACCATCAGCAATAGCCTTCTGTGGGAGAGAACAAACCAACTTCCAGCTGAAGAAGAAATTAGGAAAGACGATGGAAATGGATAGGACATACATTACGCAAATCGTCAAACTGCATCACGAGGCAAGCCCTAACTTGGAATCCTGAAGGGAAGCGAAAAAGAGAAAGGCCAAAGAACACACTGCGTCGGATAATAGAAACAGATATGAAAACGATGAATTACAACTGGACGGAGCTAGAAAGGATTGCCCAGGACAGGGTTGGATGGAGAATGCTGGTGAGCGGCCTATGCTCCTTCACGAGGAGTAACAGGCATGCGTCAGCGTGCGTCATAAGCTTACTCGCTATGAAACTCTGTTACTGCCTTTCCAGCTCAGTTGGTCTTGACTCCTTCATGTATTGATTTACTTGACGCAGTCTTTCATGTCAACCTAGTTCTAATCAGATGAAAGTAATCATTTGACAAACTTGGAGATGTCAACAATCTGAATAATTACCTGGGTATTTGTACGAATTAGTGATTTCCTTTAACTTGATTGCCCGCAGATTACGAATTTAAAATATCCATTTTTGTTCAAACAGTTCTACCTGCCTCAGGTTGCACTATTTCGGGAATTTTTATTTAGCATACTAATTCGAATACTTCTAATTGCCATCGTACCACAGAAACCAGTTATTTATCCGAGTGTTTTGTAATTCAAACATGACTGTTATTATCTTTTCATGCCTTAATATTGATAATAAAATGTAGTCTCTTGAATAAGAGTTAGATTCACATACCATCTCCCTGAAACTAGAGTTTGAACAATATTCAGTACTAGATTGAATTTGAGGAATTATGTTGTCTACCAAAACAAAAAGCTCCTAGACAATGGACCCTTGCCTACTGTCGTTGTAGCAGGGATTTATATCACCATATCCAATGTCTAAAAATACTTTATCTGTCTTTTAAGCTTCAACGTCTCCCAGTGAGATAGATCTTGCCCATTATGTGTATTGACCAAATAATTTTAAACGTTGAGTGAAGTTATTTGCTAAAGGTGATGGTCTCACTACGTGGACGTGAATTTTGTCTGACTTACAACAGATATTATGAATGTGTTTAGGAAAAAAGTGTGAGATCGAAATTATGACTTACAACAACTG